TTATTTATTGACCAATCAGAGCAACTTGACATTCAGACCATCCCCCAGTACAGCCAAGTGCAGACCATCTCAGACACCTGCACTCAGGCCCATGGTCCTAATTATCCTCTATGTAGGCCTGCTGGGTAACGCCACAAGGAACCCAAGAAGGGCTCCCACAGGACATACATTAACATCCCACAGCAGGCATGTGTTGATAATTCATTTATAATTACTACTTGAGAATTATCCGGATTGAAAAATCTGGAAGTGCCAAACTGCCCAGTCTCCTCTGCCTGACATTTATGACAGTCTAATGATTCTGCATTTAATTCTTTGCCCAGAATTCAGTAAAATGATATGCATGCACTGCAAGTAATAAAAATGGTCTTTGATTTCTCAGAGAAAGAGAGAATTGCCCTGTGCAAACACTTGTGTATGCAACAGTCTGAAACATATAGATTTTAATGAGGTACAAGACTTTGCCATTTTGTTCAAGACTTTTGAAAGCAACTTCTAAGCAACATTTGAATTTAGTGGCAAAGGCTCTTTTTGAATTATCTATGTCAGTTTTTAGATAACAAGACTAAGTTGCTCTTACTTTCAAAGAACAAAGATAAATTTGCTAAAATCCCTGGGAGAATGGGACCAGGAAGAAGGGTCAGTGGTTTAAAATACTTGTTACTCTGGCACAGGACTCAGGTTCACTGCCTAGCACCCATGGTGTAGCTCACAAATTTCTTTAACTGCTATTCCAGGGGATCCAGTGCCATCTTCTGGCCATCAGGTGCATGCTTGGTACACAGACATATATGTAGACAAAAATCACCATATATATTAAATAAATAAATTACATATATAATTCATATATGTGTATATACAGTTGGCTATAATAAAATGAGAGAAGGATTATGAAGATGAAAAAGATATGAGCCTTTTAAAAATTACATAAAAAAATCTTTGGTATCTGGAAATGTAGATATTACAAGACAGTACTAAATGACTTTAAAATAATATTATCCTATCATCTTGATGTTAAGTTGGAGATGCAGTGATTAAAATTTCATGGTAGCTAATAAATGCCAATAGTGGACATATTTAAATTCCATGACAAATAAGAATGTAATTTCAGACAATTATCAGAAAACTGATTTCAAATTTTCAAATGTATAAATTTTCATACGACTGAGAAAAATAATTGTACCTTTATTTGAAAAATGGTAATTGTGAAACATTTACCCACAGCCCCCCAAAATTATTAACTCCAAAACATACATTGATTTACTATACTTGCTTTACTTTCCCGTATTTTTGTTTTAAAATGCATCTAACCTCTTACATTTATTCAAACAATAAACATTCCCATGACTACATCACATGTCTCTTCATCTACCAGAAAGATTTTGCTTTGTGTGAACTTGTTACCATAGTGCTTTGGTATTAAACTGAAGCCAAGGAGATAGAAAGCAGTTAAAAGAACATTCTAACGGAAGAATCCGTCCAGTGACAGCAGCGGGGAGGGGCACTTAAAATCAAATACGAATATCCTTTAGAAAATAACAAATCTCCAGAAATTTAAGAACAATTACCATAGTGGCTTTTTATTATATGACAAAATAAATTATACATAAAAACATCAAATAGCCAAAATATTCTAGAAAAGCAACATGAATTAGTTATCAGTGGCAAATGTGCTTGACTAATATTGACACAGTTCTTCATTGTGGAGAGATGGGAGAATCCCACAGAAACAAGCTCATTTTGATTACCTTTCCCTCACTCTTGTATTTATGGTTCCTGATCACAGATTATAGGACACAGTCTCTGAATATTCCCCTGTAATGAACAGAAATACTGAAGAGAAGAAAAGTAATATTTAATGTTACTGTAATTTATATCTTTAATATTACTTTCATCTTTACACACCTAAAACTTAGTAGACTAAGTCAATAAATCTTTAACTATTAATCTTTTGTTCTTACTGGTAAGAAATCCAGATTTTATTTTACTGTTATTCAAATAATGGACTTTATAAATTACTTACCAGGTACTTGCTATGAAGAACTGGAGGTCGAGACTGTGTTTGTAGAGACACTATTTAATAGAAGCCTCCTTCTCTGAGTTGTTTTGAACAGTGAAGCCTGAATACTAATGAATTGCTTAAAGCTGTGTACTACACTTTACAAAGCCAGTTGCTGTTTTATGTTTAAAAAGCTCAAGAGAGCTTTGGATGGTGGTTAAAATAGTAGGTAGAATAAAATACAATAAAAGAATATATCTATTCTGAACTTACTGCTCTAATATAGTTGGGATCAACAGTGAAAGCCCTTTGTTTTCACTGTCAAAGCTCCTAGTTGGGAAAGAAAAGTAAACTACAGAGGTTCCTGGAAGGCTCCACAACCCTAGGAGTCAATCCCAGGAACCGTGGCTGAGCTCCACAACAGCAAAGGCAAGAAGAAAGAAGAGAGGTAATGTGACCAAGAAAACACTGAGCAAATTCTACTCCTTAAATGGTGCTGTACCAGCCCGAGACAAGTCAAAATATCTACCACCATTTCACACCTACAATTGGTAACAATGTCAACTTCCAAATAAATGTAGCCGGAGAGTCTTGTAATTTCTCCCATTGCCAAAATGTGTGCTAGGGTGTGCTTCCTGCTTCTGTTCCTAAGTTTCACATCTGATTGCTGATGTGACAGAATAAGTTGATGTTAAAGCCTCCCGTTTTGCAATATATGGAGGATATAACTGTTTTTTTATTCTCCTATGTGAATATCTCAAGCACACATATTGTTTGGTTCAGATGAAAGACATTGACTGGAGATTTTTATTTCAGTCTGTTTCAGGGACAAAGCCCAGCACAGTCCAAATGGCCTGTTTCTATGGGAAACAGTCACAGCACATAAAGCACCCAGAGGCAGTTAAACATTTGAAAAGATCAGTGCAATAAACAAAGAAAAAAAGATTCCTAGATTGCCTCCTTATGTCTTGTAGCCAGCAAGTGATTGGTAGCCTTTAAACATGCTCCCATGTTTCCCTGCTACAGGAGACTGAAGATTTTTGTTCTAGTAAAATTGTATTATGGAACTATTGCTTACAATCATAGGACAAAGCTGAAACAAATGTGTGTATACATATACATGTACATATGTATGTATGTATAAACAGAGAAATTAGAAGACAAATCATATTCTGCTCTTTTCACTGAAGTGCAGACCACTAAGCTTGGTCTCCTGAAAATGAACCAGGGAATTCAACAACAATCAACTTGATTTCACATTCCTCTTTGCTTCCTCTCTCCTGCCAAGTAGAAACTGAAGGTACCAGGCAATATAATCCATAAACATTATCCTCCCAGTCCAAGAACCAACGTGGAGAAAAGAAGTCTTAACTGAAAAAAGCCAACACAGTACCTTAGAGGATTTTCAGAGGTGTTACTTGCATTAATTCTAGTTACAATTGTTATTTTTAAGCTATTGCCAAATTGACTGGTGAAAATCATTTAAAAATGTTTTATAGAAATAAATATATAATAGATAATACCTAGGGAAAAATTTATGGATTGGTAGAATCTGTATCTATGATGTGTGACTGTAAATACATTTGGAACACATAAACAAATACCACTATACAGACAGTGTATGGACAAAAGTGAAAGAAATATGGCTTTCATTATACATGACAGAAAAAATATGGGTTTGGAGAAGGATGTGATCTGAGTGGATTTTATCACTATTACTCAGGCTCTGGCAATACTAGACCTAAAAAGAAAGTATATATACCCCATTTCTTTTAATCATCCATTATATATATATATATATATATATATATATATATATATATATATATATATATATGCAATTTTAAAGTGTGGAATTTTGGTTTTACCAGGCACAGGCATCTCGAACAAGTTAAATCTTCATAATGTTAGAGGCCTTATAGAAAGCATCCATGTGATAAATTCAGCATCTCTACAGGAAGTACATGAAAGGAAATAAAAAAGACAGTGTTCTAGGTATGGCAGAAGGTTAAGAGCAACATTCAGAAGCACTAGAACTTTTGAGAGCCTAGCTATTCTTGAAGGACATCAATGCAGCCAATGACTCAGATTATAAACACCTGCAGAGCAATAGGAGTTGAGTCTATAAATGTTACCAAATAGTTCTGTCACAAAAAGCCAGGAATCAGGTGGCTCCACAAAGTAAACTGTGCATGGAATAACCATGTGTTTTTGTAGATGTAAGAAAGCTGAGATCTTTAGATTCATCAGCAGAAATGACTAGCAGGTCTTTCTGAAGTCTTCATCAAGAACACTCACTAAATTGGCATGCTGGTGCACGCCTTTAATCCCAGCACTTGGGAGGCAGAAGCAGGCAGAGCTCCAGTCCAGCCTGGTCCATAGATTGAGCTCCAGGTCAGTCAGAACTACACAGAGAAACTCTGTCTCAAAAAAACAAAAACAGCAACAAACAAACAAGCAAACAAACAAAAATTACTAATGGAGACTTTTAAATGTAGTATTTTACCTATGAGTAATTTGCATCAATACGTACATTAGAAATTCCCATCCTTCATTACAACTTCAGTCTTACATTTGAGATTTAGGACAAAATGATTGAATATTTCAGTTAAAATAAAAGCTTGATATTTTAAGAGATAATACAAATGATAGAAATATCAAGTTATTTGAAGCATACTTAGAGACTTCTAGAATTGGCTATTATTAAAGGTGAGTGTATACGACTTGATAGTCAGAGATTCACCTCACCCCTTTATTGATTCATCAATTATTTTAAAACTTAGTATGCAAGGCTATTATTCTATGTGCTTGACTTATGTCAGTGAGTAAAAGTCAGTTGCCTACAAACATGGAGTTTAATTTTATTTGATGTGAAAACAAACTGAAAATAAATATTACATCCTTCACCACTTGATCAAGCTACAATATGACTGACACTTATTTTGCTTCACAGTTTGAATCTTTGCAAATGGGTACTATTTTCTAGTGAGATGTCCCTAGTCCCTGCAAATATGTCGCCACACAATAGTAAGTAAGGTACTGCAGAATGATCAGCCCTAAAGGGAACAGATATCACTCATCCTCCCTTCCAGATTCAGGGATCATTGGGAGCAGAATGTAAAAGCCAGAGGTAGTTGGTGAGTACAAGGAAGCATTGAATTCTTCACAAAGAAGGGGGTGGCAAATATGAATTCATAGATATTATGACAATATGCATAAACCTCCCACAAGTCTGAGCCAGGCCAAATTCTAGCATGTAGAGGGAGTTGGGTACATGATACCATCCTGAGCCCTGGAGACACGGCAATTGTTAGGTGCTGGGAGAATAGGGTGCAATTGTCTCTAAGAGTGTAGCCCCAGCAAGCAGACCATGCTCCAGTGGAAGAGCACACATTAAAGAATATCTAGGCACCACAAATTGGTCTTGAAGAATGTCAAAAGGAAATAAGACTTTACAAAGTTGGGCGATAAGGAAAGGAGAAGGATCTGGGAAGAACTGATGGACTGGTGGAGGCAGCTGAGTATGATCCAAACATGTAAGAAACTCTCAAACAATTACTATGAGCTAAAAAAAAATGTGATCCACCGCCATCTGGCCTGCTTCATTCATAAATGGCTTATGTTTATAACTGTATTACTCAACTAGTGCTTTATTGGGAAATCACCTGTTGTGTGATATTTTGATTGTATACTGACAAATAAAGCTTGATTGGAGTCAGAGGTCAGAGATAGCATCGAGCTGACCAAATTTAACCATAGAGGTTTGGAGGACTATAGACAGATAGGAAATAGGAAGTAGTAAGACAAGGCTAAGATGATCTCAGCCCTTTTGGAAGAAGGGATGGTGAGATAAGAGGTGACTGGTGGCTGCTTCTCTGATCTTTCAGGTTCTTACCCCAATATCTCATTCCTGGTTTTTATTTACAAAGAATAATTAGGTAAGGCTTCATCTGGTGCCTAGCATTTGGGCCTTGCTAGAACACATGAGAGTGTGTCCAGCCAGCACAGTTGCTCTGTGGTCCAGCAGAAGCTGCTGCCTTCCCAGGCATGGACTCTTGATCTGCTGCTGCCCTCCCAGATCAGCTCTGCTTGGCTTGCACAGGCCCTGGAGCAAGTTTTGGTTCCACCACCTTCTGTGTTTGTGCTGTGTTGCTCTCCATCCTCCCAAGCCCAGCTCAGGAGAGCACTAGAGAAAAATCTAGTGCAGCCTACAACAACCCTCTCAAACCACTTTGGCTCAGTGGGGACAAGTGCTGGACCAGAGTCTGGTGTTGGCTTGGGTGTGCTGAGGCAGCTGCCTTGGTGCCACATCTTTTCCATCTGCTGGTCAAACATCATCGCTGCACCTGAATACCTTTCCACCACCCAACCTTCTGAGGATCATCATGACAACTGGTAAAGACACTTGGGAACTTTTAAGGGGTAAACTTGGCTATGAAAGAAAGAAAGAAAGAAAGAAAGAAAGAAAGAAAGAAAGAAAGAAAGAAAGAAAGAAAGAAGGAAGGAAGGAAGGAAAAAGAAAGTGAGAGAAAGAGAGAAAGAAAGAAAAAAAGAAAGAAAGAAAGAAAAGAGATTGATTTATATATAATTTATATGGATGATATGTTACTAGCTGGTTTAAATGTAGATAACTTAGAGAAAATGTTTGAAGAAGTAAAGAAAAATTTTCCTTGTTGAGGATTACAAATTGTTCCTGAAAAAAAATATAAAGAGGAGATTCTATTAATTACCTAGAATATAAAATAGGTTTACAAAAAATTAAACCACAGAACATATAAATCAGTAGAGATCAATTATGAATTCTTAATGATTTTCAAAAATTGCTGGGAAACATTAACTGGCTATGGCCCACAATTGAATTAACAACTCAAGAACTAAATAATTTATTTCAAACGTTACAAGGAGATAAGGACTTAAATAGTCCAAGAATTATCATCTGAGGCTGAAAGAGAATTGACTTTGGTAGAACAGAGTTAAAAAATTAAAGACCTATGTAGAAAAGTCTTCTGAGATGATTCTGAAAGGAAAATTAAGATTTAATGAATTAGGATAAATAGAGCCAGTAGAAATTATACTACCTTTTACTAATGCTGAAATTTTCTCATTATAGGTAAAAAAAAAATGAACATTGTCAAAGAGCTTGCAATAATTTTTTGGTAAAGATTAGCAACAAATATCCCAAAAGAAAGAGAATTCACTTTATAAAATGAACTAACTGGATCCTTCCTCATATTGTACGGGGAACACCAATTTCTGGAGCCCCTACCTTCTATACTGATGCGATCAAATCAGGAAAGAAAGGTTATAAGTCAAGAAATTTAAGTAAAGTGACTCAAAGCCCTTATGATTCTGCTCAAAAGTCAGAATTATATGCTATTTTCATAGTATTATTAGATTTTCCAGAACCTGTTAAAGTTACTGAATCTCAATATGCAGAAAAAGTTGGTTTACATATTAAAATGAAACTAATGAACTTATTCCAGATGATTCAGAATTGACTTTGTTATTTATTCAATTACAAGAAAAAGTCAGAAATATATAAATATATATATAAAACACATATCAGATTCCATATGGGTCTGCCAGGCCCTCTAGCACAAGGTAATGATGAAATTGATCAAATATTGCTAGCAAAAGTGCAAGAAGCCTCAGAATATCATAAGAAACACCATGATAATAGCAACAGTTTGAAAAAAGATTTTTTCATTACTTGGGAACAAGCCAAGGAACTTGCAAAGAAATGTCCTACTTGTCCCTTGGGTAACCAAAATCTACTACCTGCAGGAAGTAACCCAAGGCATACTCAAAGAAATGAGATTTGGCAAATAGATGTGTTTCATTTTGCAGAGTTCAGAAAATTAAAATATGTAAACTATACCATAGATACATATTCAAGATTTCATTGGGCAACTGCTTTGGTTGTAAGAAGGCTGATTCTGCAATTACACATTTATTAGAAGTTATGGCCATCATGGGATTACCTGTACAAATTAAGACTGACAATGTGCCAGCATATGTCTCTAGTAAAATGAAACAGTTTTTTACATAATACAACATAAAGCATATTACAGGTATGCTACATGTTCCTATAGGCCAAGCAGATATAGAAAGACCAAAACAAACTCTAAAAGATATGCTTAATAAATAGGAAGGGGTAATAAAGACCTCCAGAGATAGACTGCACAATACTTTATTAACTTTACATTTTCTAAATGCTAATGAGAAAGCAACAACAGCTGCAGAGAGACATTGGATAATAGAAAAAACTGTTGAATTAAATCAGCTTGTATACATTAAAGATATGTTGACCTTAGAATGGAAACCAGGATATGTGTTACATTGGGGAAGAGGTTTTGCCTTTGTTTCCACAGGAGAAGAAAAACTATGTATATCATCAAAATAGATAAAGATTAGACTCAAACAAGAGAGACCTCTTTATTAGAAGAGGCAATAGTTCATCAAACATTATGACCATTCAATCTAAACTAACTTACAAATGCTTTTCATTTGATCAGATATAACTTACCACAAGGGAAACTCTCCAAAGTTATGGTTGGGGCAGGGTTTTGTTTTTGTCTTTCCAGGAGAATGAAGACATCCAGCTAAGGAATCTGAAGACCTTTGGACAAGTGAGACATCTGAAGAACAATGAAGAATCATCCAGAGAAAATATCCCAAGTAAAAGAGTAAATTAACCTATTGATATATCACATTTCCAAAAGGAAAATTTTCATCAGTCCTTCCAAATGTTTGTTTCTGCTGTT